GCTGTGTGCAGCATCACATGCTTTAACAATCTCTCAATCCCCACTCACAGCACAGACACTGGGCTGTGTTAGCTCAGACTAGAACTGGGGGAACTTCTGCTGGCAGAGCTTCCTTCAAGGACAGAGAACACCTGAGGAAGTGCAGCTGGCCACATCTCTGCTGCTGTGCACACCTACTGGCAGCAAATCACAAGTGGGAGCAAGGCTGAATGTCCATAAATCAGCTTGGCAAAGAGCAGTGGTGGCTCCCACGAGAGAATTTAACCAGCTCCTTCTCTGTGTGTTTCCTATATGGGCACAGACACGATGCTGCAGCTCAGAGCCCACGTTGTACTGCTGAAAACCTGTGCTTTGGAGCTGCCCTTGTCAGGAAGCTACATTGGCCTTGGTCCCCCTGAGCAGCAATATTAAACTTAGAGTGAGCAGGCACTGTCATCTGCAGATATTTAGCATTTTCAAATAAAACCAACCCACGCCACCTCAGCTTGCTCCTGGCCCTGCTGGGGCTGATCTGCTCCAGAGGAAAAGAGGACAGCAGCACTGGCAGCAGGCAGAGCCCCCGTGGGAGATGCAGCCACTGAGTGCCCATCCTCAGGACAAGGGCAGGCACCAGCTCCCAGTCACCAGCCAGGATGGGCTCATTTCAAACAACCCAACTGTAAGAAAAACACAAGGCAGCTAAGGAGAAGTAATTCCAGAGCTGTGGAGTTCTGCCCTGGGGACAAGACCCAAAATCTGCTTCCAGTACCTGTGAAGTGACACGTCTGAGCTGTCCTGGGGCTGATCCAGCTCCAAACAACCAACGGTAGAGTTAGCATAAAATTAAAATATATGCAAACAACATTAGCACAGATTTACAAGATTTGTTTAACCCGATGGTACCGAAATCTCTCCTTCTAGGGGAGAGTGCAAGCAGGAGTGGGCAAAATTGGGAGCAAGACTTTATGGTGTTAAGGTTGATGCTCTGAATTTTCATGTGAAGAGATGATAGTGTTCAAGCTGCTGCCTTGGCTCATTAGGGGCCAGTTGCACCACAGCACTGTGCTGGGATCAGGCACAGCCCTGGCTGGGCAGCAGAAAAGACCAGATTCAGTGGAAAGCATAAGATGAGCAGGGCATTACTAATTACAAGTGACTGTGCCTCGCCAGGCGAGCTGCTGTGCTGTAGTCTCTCCTGCAGTTGTTATACAGCAAGCATTCTCTGCTCTTCAAGTGGCAGCAATAACAGTCAAGACAAGAGACCTGGAAGAAATTGGATTCTGGAATACTACAGCCTTCACCTAAACTTGGAAGAAATCGGATTCTGGAATACTACAACCTTCTCCTAAGCATGCATGAATGCTGATTGGTAGCTGTCCAGCTTTTTACATGTAAAAAGGGAAAAAGAGATACCCTACTGAATATTGTCTGCCTAACAGAAAACAGCAATGTCCTAAAATTACAACAAGCACTTTATGAGATGACAGCATGTGGGAGGCACAGCTGCCCTCCCATGTCCCTGGAGCACACAAACAGGCTCCCTGCCCAGCAAGGCTGGCACAGCACAGCTCACACCCTTCTGTGAGCATGGAAGGGCTGAGCCCACACCATGGTACCAACTTCCCCATCTGGCCAAAGACCCCTTGGTCACCACCTCAGCAGTCTGAGATGCAGACCCTGGGGCACCAGTCCCTCTGGACTGCGGGCAAGGCAAGCAGATCACCCCAGCAGAACCCCCACAACCCAGCTCGTTGTGATGGATGGCACGAGCACAGCCCGGTGCCACCACGGGACCAAGCAGAGCCTGAATGCTCTGGAGGGCACCTGCTGGGGCCAGGCAGTGCCCAGCAGCAGAGTGCCCCTGGCTTAGAGCAAGGATTTCCCATCAGCACAGACCTAAACCCCTCTCTAAACTGCATGGCAGCGCTTCTGCTCCTCATCTACACTTCCTACTTTGTATGTTTACTATTTACTTTGTTAAATAAGTATTTGTACATCTGCTTCTCTTTAGTGTACCAACACCACAGCTCTACCTTTTCTTGCTTTACTACTGATGTAGTAATACGAGGTCATGCTTTCACCTTAGTGAGAAACAACCACCAAAAAAAAAAAAAAAAAAAAAAAAAAAAAAAAAAAAAAAAAAAAAAAAAAAAAAAAAAAACCCAAAAAAAAAAAAAAAAAAAAAAAAGAATAAGTCTTCCTCCAGTAATTGCCATTTAATCCCTGACCAGGAAAACTAACAAGTTATTCTAAGATAGGCAAACCTTTGGGGCATCTGATTTTTAGAACAGCTGAGCACTGCGGCGCTGCAGAAAGGAGATGTACAAAGAGTATTTTATTTTTGCTGCTCAACAGCACGAGAGAGCTAATGCAGCGGGGCTGCCAGTGCCTTATAGAATGTGACACACCGAGCTAGCCAAGGGTGCTCATCCTCCCCAGCACTCACAGCACATCTCATCCCTTAGGAGAACACAATGTGAAAACTGACCCTGCCCTTCCGAGTATCAATACAAATCCTCTTTGCCATCCAGGTTAGTTCACAATGAAGAGGTTACTGAAATGCCTCCTACTATAGAAAATCAGCACAATTAAACATTCAACGCGAATGAGTTTGTTTTCTTTAAGAAATAAGCAAACAAAAAAAAAATCCCCTCTTTTGTTCAGTTTTGAATTTTTTTCTTCTTTCCTTAAAGCCTGGCTGTCACACAGAAATTCTTAAGCAAAGGCTGGAATTACAGCATGACAAAACACTTAAAAACAATGGTAAATGTGTGGGGAACACACCAAGTAACAGCTAAGGAGAGATTCCCAGAGCTGGAAATTAATTTAAATACTGTCATGATACATTGACTCAAACCCTTAAATCATCCTCCTCCTTTACTTTTTTACTGGAGTGTATCATCTAAGCTACTACATCTGCAGAGCTATTTAGAAATTAGTAAATATTCAGTAAAAACAGCAAAACTTTTTAAATTCAGGATCTCTACAACAGCCCTAATAGTCTCTGCTCTTCTATAAAAACCAATCTCATTACAAAAAAGGAAGCTAAGCCTGTAGCAAAAGCTGACAGAACACACACTGCACACTAAACCCTTTAAGTGAGATTTTGTATTATGCTCTGCATGCCAAGGGAAGTTATTAATACCCTAACCCAGCATTCACTAGCTCCTTTGTATCACAACAGTGAATAATTTCTTTACAGAGTATTTGATGAAATAACTGCTCAAAGTGACTTTATTTTAAAATCTCAAAAATCAGTTTACTAGAATTTTGAATGAGAACTTGATAGTCTTGTATTAGCTGATGTAAAATAGCTACATTATAAGAAACACTGAAAATGCACTAAATTATAACATTATCAATGGCAAATGTGGCATTGCTTAGAAAAGTAATATACACCCCCACCAAAGGCACAAAATGCAACAAAATCAAACTGCAACAAAGATAAGAATTTTCAAGTATAAATTTTCAAGAGTAAGTTACATTTCGTATGTTAAAAATTTTTATATATATTAGAAAGAATTATACACGAATTGCAATGCACAATGCCGTGCTTTTGCTAGAAAATCCCCTTTAAAGCTTCTGTTTTCACAGCACACAATTTGTAGTGAATAAAGCGGGGAAACCATCCAGTGCCAGATGTCTGAGAACATCAGTAAATTCTCTGCCAATTAAAAAGAAAGAATTTGGTCCTTTACTATCAGATTTCGATCAAGTGTTTAATCAGTGCAAGAGCTCTGTATGGGAACATATTGCAAAAGTTCTCCCAACACAAAAAACACCGCAGGAATCCAAGGACCTGCAAAGGCAAACAATCCTCACATGCGACTTTTCTTGGCGCTGCAAGAGAAGGTTTAAAGTAGAGATGCAGGATCATTCTTCCAAGAACCGATAGGCTGAAAATACAGTTTCTGCATTTACTTGGCATAACCACAAAATATTCGGGCATGAAACCACGAAAAGAAAAGCTGGTGACACCGGAAAAAGCGAGAGCGTGGTTTGAGCAGAAGGAATCTACTCGGCAACACCGGCGTGCGTGGATTATCCCCGCGGTGCGTGGGAGGAAAGTTCCGTGCGGGCTGTTTTGTGCTCACACCGCGGAGAGCCACGCTGGGAGCGGTCAAAGCCCCGCGGGAGGTGCGGGGAGCAGCGCAACAAGCGCATCCGCGGGGAGCAGCGCAACAAGCGCATCCGCGGGGAGCAGCGCAACAAGCGCATCCGCGGGGAGCAGCGCNGCGGGGAGCAGCGCAACAAGCGCATCCGCGGGGAGCAGCGCAACAAGCGCATCCGCGGGGAGCAGCGCAACAAGCGCATCCGCGGGGAGCAGCGCCTCGCCCGAAGCGCGACAGCGGCGGGCGAACCCCGCCGGGCAGCGCGGCTGCGAACCGCGGGGCACCGCTGGCCACCGGCAACGGGGCTCCCCGCCGACACCGGCAACGGGGCTCGGCGGACACCGGCAACGGGACAACGGGACCTCGGCCAAGGCAGCGCCGCCGCCGCCACCGGCCCCGACGGCCGCGATGTCCCGGCCGGGCGGCCGAGCCTGCAAAGACGACACGAGACCGGTTCCTGGGTAAATGGTTTATGTAAGTAATAAAATATTTACTATAACATAAATAGAAACGTACCCTCGCAGTCTACATTGGTTTTGCAATAAGAGATACAAACAAAAACCGAACCCCCGGGGAATGGACCGGACTGAACCCACCAACGGGAGGGTGCGAGCTCCGCGCACGGTTAGAAATAAATAGAGACGGGCCGGGAAATGGTTTCGAAGCGTCCCCCCGGGCGGACCGGGCCGGGCAGAGCGAGAGGGGCCGAGCCGGGGGCGCGAGGAAGGGAATAAATTAGAGATCGCAAACCTTTGGCTACTGCTGCGGCGGCCGCGGCGGCTCCGGCGGGCGAATAAATAGAGCGCGGGGCGCGGAGCGGGCGGCCGGGCCAGTCTGAGAATAAATTAAATCGCGTCCCCCGCTGCCCGCGCCCGCCGCGCCGCCGTCGGGGCCGCGGGGGCCGGGCAGTCACTGCACGGCGCCGGGCAGCGCGTGGTGCAGCGGCGAAGTGTCCGCCTGTGCGTAAACGTCCTCCATGGGGGGATGCGGGACCCCGGCCGGCGTCATCCGCTTCTCCTTCTGCCGCCGGTTGCAGAACCAGACCCGCACCACCTCTTTCTCCAGCTGCAGGGAGTCCGCCAGGGAGGTGATCTCGTGCGCCGAGGGCTTGGGGCACTTGAGGAAGTGGTTCTCCAGGGCGCCCTTGACGCCCACCTCGATGGACGTCCGCTTCTTGCGCTTCCGGCCCTGCGCCGCGATCTTGTCCAGGTTGGTGGGGCTGCCCGTGCTGGAGTCCGTCTCCTCCAGCCACTTGTTGAGCAGCGGCTTCAGCTTGCACATGTTCTTGAAGCTCAGCTGCAGCGCCTCGAACCGGCAGATGGTGGTCTGCGAGAAGACGTTCCCGTACAGGGTGCCCAGCGCCAGCCCCACGTCGGCCTGCGTGAAGCCCAGCTTGATCCGCCGCTGCTTGAACTGCTTGGCGAACTGCTCCAGGTCGTCGGAGCTGGGCGCGTCCTCGTCCGACGGCTCGGGCGGCCCCAGCGGCGGCGGCGAGGCCGCCAGCTCGTGGCCGCCCGCCTCCTCGGCGCCCAGCGGGTCGCGCAGCCCGTGGTGCAGCGCCGGCGCCGGCGGGCCCAGCATCCCGTTGAGGCCCGCGTAGGGCTGCGCGTAGAGCAGCGGCTGCCCCGACGGCGGGGACATGGGCGGCAGGTGGTGCGCGCCGCCCTGCGCCCAGCCGCCCGCCGCGCCGCCCGCCGCCGGCTGGTGCACCAGGTGCGGCCGGTGATGGAAGGCGGCGGCGGACAGCTCTTCGCGGGGTCCCGGCGGGCCGCCCTTGGCGTGCTCGGCGGGCGGAAGGTGCGCGCCCCCGCCGCCCCCACCGCTGCCCCAGTCCGTGCCGGCGCTGGGCAGCCACTGGTGGTGCGCCAACCCGACGGCGTGCCCGGCGGCGGGAGCCAGTCCCTGCAGGTACTCGTGGTGCATCATCTTCTGCACCTCGCGGTACGTGGTGCCCTGGTGCAGCCGGTCGCCGTCGGGGTGCATGAGCGCGGCGGAGCGCGGCAGGTACTGCGCGGCGGCGGCCATCGCGTGTGCGCCGCGCCGCCCGCGCCGCGCTTTAGAGCCGCGCGCCGGGGCGCGGGGCCGCCGCGCGCCCGCCCCGCCCCCGCGCCCCATTGGCCCGCCCGCCGCCGCGGGTGGCGCGCGCCGCCCCGCCATAGGGCGCCGCCGGCGGGAGGGGGGCGCCGCCCCGCGCCGCCCGCTCCCCATTGGCCGGCGGCGGGAGGGCGCTGCCCACGGGATTGGCCGGCGGGGGGGAATGGGCGGGGCGGCCCGCGGCGGAGCGGCCGCCGATTGGAGGAGCGCGGTTCATTCATGCCGAGCGGCGCGGGCGGCGCGCAGCCTCCGCCCGCTGCGCTCCGCGGGCTGGCCCCGCTGCTCAGCTCCCCATCGAGGCCAAGCTGGGGCGTCAAAAGTCGTGATTGAGGCTTTTTGGTAAACTTGGAGCTCCTTCCTGAGCGTTCCACGGGATAGAGCAGCAAGGGCCAAGAAATGAGGATCTGAGATTGTCTGGGCGTCATGGGAAATGTGGCTCTTGGATGCTGCCTCAGAGGCGAGTCTCTGAGCCGGTTTGAGGGTTGGCACAGGATAAAGGGTGGAGGAATTTGTGGGAAAAGACAATGACAACAAGAAACAGACGTGTCTCGCAGTGCTGGGAGAGGGGCAAGGGATGTCTTAATTAAGCCAGCTGCAGACTTCATCTGGGGCTTGTGGCCCAAAATGAATCAGGATGGGCACCAGGAACATTCATCACTTCTAAAAATTAATCTTTGTCTCTGTGCTCTATCTGTAGGACGGGAGCAGAGTCTGACCTTTGCCAAGGGCTTGGGCGAACAATGAACCGTCGGATCAATATGTGTACGAGTGTAACATGTCAAGATGCCCTGCACTCTCCTCAGCTGGGCAGGGTGGCTTGCTGCTGCTGCTAAGGACATTAACTGCAGCCTCCTGAAAGCTTTTTGTGAGGCGTGCCACATCCCTTCCTGTGTTGGGGGCACTTTGTCATTTCGGGGTACCAAAGCACTGGTTTGGACTGGGGTCCTGCAGCCCTGCCTGCTGGGAATGTTGGAACCAGCAGATGGAAGAACCCGTTTTGGCTTCTGGGTTTGGGGGGACCAAGCTGCAACACCCCACCCTGGCACAAGGGCAACACAGTGCCCAGCTCAGTGCCCACCTCTGCCTTCCCTGGCACTTTGGCAGTGGTGGCCCTGTGGCCACAGGGTGAAGTGCTGCCCACAAGCACCCTGTGATCACTGATTTCACCCGCATTGACCCTCCTCCTGCTTTACCCAGCTTCTGGGGCAGCTGCTGGGATCACACGGGGCTGGAGAGGTCTGTCTCCTCCTCCAGGCTTGTGTGGGCAGGTGCCAACACCCAGCCAGCCCCACGGGAGCTGCTTCTGCCAAACCTGCAGCCATGGGGCTGGTGCTGGTCCATGGCAAGAGCTCAGCATCCTACAGAATCACAGAATCCCAGAATCACAGAATAATGAGGTTGGAAGAGACCTCCAAGGTCATCAAGTCCAACCTATGCCCTAACACCACAACTAGACTATAGCACCAAGTGCCAAGTCCAGTCTTTTTATAAACATATCCAGAGATGGTGATTCCACCACCTCCCTAGGAAGACAATTCCACTATTTTATTATTCTTTCAATGAAATTTTTTTCCTAATATCCAACCTGTACCTTCCCTGACGTAGCTGAGGCTGTGTCCTCTTGTTCTGTCGGTGCTGCCCAGTGGAAGAGATCGACCCCACCTGTGCAACCTCCCTTCAGGAATTTGTGGAGAGCAATGAGGTCACCTCTGAGCCTCCTCTTCTCCAGGCTGAACAGCCCCAACTCCCTCAAACGTTCCTTGTGTGTCAAGCCCCTCACCAGCCTCGTTGCCTCCTCTGAACTCCTGTCGGGGTTCTGGGGAGCTGCTGGACCTTGTTTGGTTGAGCTGTGGAAAGAGCAGCTGTGAGAGTGGCACACCTTGCTGCTGGCAGTCTCAGCTATCCATTGTCTTTGGGGACAAGTTTGGGACTGAACACGTGCATTTTTTTGCTCTGGAATTATGTGTAATTAGTTCCTTTCACTGACCCCAGGGTCTCTTTTCAGGTGTACAGCCCTAGAGAAAGGCTGGACTTTGTAGGAGAGATGGGTTGCAATAGATCATGGGACATATTTCATTAGGAAAGTAATTTATCTTTCTTATTTTCCTGAGGAATCCTTTGCCCACACTGCATACGTTTGTAATGAATAGAAGCCTTTCAAATGATTCAGTGACATGCTGTAAAATATCATACTTGGTTAAGCGTTTTCTCTATATTTTTTCTGACCTAGACTCATATTCATGTCAACTCTCCATGATGCAGTGCTGTAATATTAAAATTTTTGGTAGCCAATTGCTTTTGATATTTATATCCATTTTTAAGGGAATCACAATGAATAAATGTGCCCAGCTCTAACTTTATGCAAAATAAGCCGTGTATAAATCAGTAAATCATTAATAGAATGAATCATTTCCAAAGGCTGAAGACTGGATTGCATTTCAAACTTTCATCTGTTCTATATGTTTCAGAAATTACCCAAGGAGAGGACACATCACATGTGATAACTGAGGTGCCCATCACAGACTTTACACAGTAGTGCTGGGTTATGTTTGATCAAATAATCTTTGTAAACCAAGGCATTGTGCATTGATTGTACTTTGGGCTTGTTCTGCTTAATAGCAGTACAGATTAAAAACTGGGAACAGCAAACAGCAGAGGAAGATGCAAAATTCCCATTTAACTCCTCCCTCAGCCATTCCCAGCTCCAGAAGTCAGAGGCAGGTGGCAAAGCTCTCTTCTATTAAACAACATGAAGGAGATAAAAGCAAAGGAGAGGGTGCTGACCCTAAGTGAAGAGGACAGGAAAGATTAAGATGTATAAGCACTAATTTCAAGATCCAGACCTGTGTGTTTGTGTTCCTGGTATCCCTGTTCCCACTGAGGTCTGGGACTGAGGAGTTGCACAGTTTAAAAGACCCTACTGAGATTTCATTGTGTTGAAAGTGTCTTTCTGTTTTTTTTTAAATACATTTTATTTTATTTATTCTTATTTTTACATAGCTTTTCAGAGCCATACCATGCAGCAAATCCCTGTAGGAGGGCATCCAGGTTTCCTAGCAAGAGCTAGTTCTTTCATTAAGCCTTGCCAGGGATATTGGCATGCAGTCCATCCCCTCTTCAAGGAATAAACAACCCCATGGGCAATGTTCGATATGATTCATTCTCTGTGTGACTGTGACAGCATCAGAACCTGCCTCATGCAGCTGGATCTGAGGCTGGTGGGAGGACTGGAATAAGGAGGAGGCTGAGCACGGAGGGAGCAGAGCTGGGACTGCTGTGCACAGCCAGGGAGCTGCTGCTGCTGCTGCTGCTGCTGCTGTTGCTGCTGCTGCTGCTGCTGCTGCTGCTGCTGCTGCTGCTGCTGTTGCTGCTGCTGCTGCTGCTGCTNCTGCTGCTGCTGCTGTTGCTGCTGCTGCTGCTGCTGCTTCTGCTGCTGCTGCTGCTGCTGCTGCTGCTGCTGCTGCTGCTGCTGCTGCTGCTGCTGCTGCAGCCCCGCTCTGCTCGCTGCCCCGGCCAGCCCCAGGCACTCAGAGCTGCTTGGGAGTGCTCCATGATGAGGAGCTGGGTCCTGTCAGGACAACTTCTCCCTGGGAAACAGCCCCACATCTGGGCCTCCTGCCCTGGGGGAGCAGTGCTGCTCCTGCCTGGGCCCCTCTCTGACAGCAGCTGGAACAGCTGGATCAAACACTGGAGCAGGGTCTGCAGCAAGGAAAGGCACCAGCATTGCCTGTCAGCTGGGAGGAGGCCAAGAGTCAATGCTCCAAGTAGAATCTGCCTGTAAGTGTGAAACTGCCCTGACAAGAGGCAGCATTTCCCAGAATTTGTAACATTTTGCCTAAATGTCTTTCATCTAGGACACCTCGGAGCACAGATAAGAAATTTTTACAACTTTTTAGGTGTCTTTACCTTTTGGCAGAATCTTATTTTTGCTTTGCTCATCTAAATGTGCAGAATTCTTAATTTGGTGAGTGACAGTTAACAGGTTAGTGGCTGGGACAACAGTGAATTGAGCCATAAAACTAGAGAGGAAGAGAGCTAGAGAATAAATCATGGAGAACAGTTAATACAAATGTGTGAGGTATGCTCACTATGATTAGCTGTAGTCATATAGAGTCCTGTAATTATTTGAAAATTGTCCAGAAATAAGTTCTCATGAGACCAAAATGAATGCAAAAAATGCTGTTGTGATCTTTCATTGAATCAATGAAATTTAGATTAGGCAGTCACTAAATTCCTGTTTACACAACAGACCTTAATGGTTCCAAAGGAAGCGCTCAAATGTAGTCGACAAATAATCCCTATTTATGAAAGCCCCATAATATGCATTTACATAATCCCCACTTTAAAAAGCTATATCAGCTCTAAAGTTCTTCAGCTCAGAGATATGCCCTAGGGGATTAAAAGTAATAAACAAAACAAAGGGAAAAAGATGTATACACACACATCCACCAACGTGCACCACAGCCTTTAGGATTATCACACGCAGGAGGAGGCAGGGATAACACCCCAGCTCTGCTCACCCCACTGCACCTCCAGCAGGGTTTGTGCATGTGCACAGGGATGAATACATGCACCTGCATCTCCACAAGTGGCTCTGCATGACTTGCAGCACGTGTGTGCTGCTGCAGTGTCTCTCTGCATTCTGTCTCTCCTGCCTTGCCCGGTGGTTTGGCACAAATACCACATTGGTTCATCCTGTATGCCCAGGAAGTGCCATAATGAAACAAACAGTCTTACTCGTGTTTTGAGGTGTCTCTAGCAGCTTTAGAAAGCAGCTGATAGGACACAGAACTGTGGGTTGTGCATTTTATTTGTACTCAAGATGACTGGCCAGTTGCTGATATTCCCATGTGACGGATGTGGCATTTTGCTGTCGAGGTGCTGTCCTTGAGATAAGAGCTATGACAGGGCAGGGACCTGCACCAAGAATG